CTGAAAATTATTTCAAACGCATGTTCAATGAGACTATGAACAAATATAAACGAAAGAAAGATTTACAAAGATTCAGACTCGTGAGATAAAATACAAGAGGATTAAGGCCATGCGTTCTGGAAGAGTAAACGTCTTCTGCTCCATCGCCAACATCCGCCTTGCATATCGTCATCCTCATTAAGATCCTAATTATCGTGCAACAGAGCGAGAATTAGGATCTGCATTCTTATAAAATCATTAAATATTGTTTATTTTCCTGTAAGCAATGTCTTAAACATCAAATCATACCAGGAAATATAATATGTCTAAATGAGATAATATGACGACCTGCATCTCTCAAAACCATGTGTTACAGGTGTATTAGTTAAGAACATTTACAACATGAAGACCGTGATATTGAGAAAAACCTAGAATATCGAATAAGCTGACTTGTAAACACCATAGTTTGAACATACAGGTATGTTGCTATCACGAAATCAAAAAATTACTAAAAGGAAATTGAGAACATCATGCTTTTCATACAGCTTTGTGAAAAGCTACTCCTGTTTGTTTCGTTAGAGAAGAAAGATCGAGGTTCAGGAGAATAAAAAATTAAAAGTAATTTTATTTTTATTCAAACAATGACGACATAATGTATTAATGATAAAAAAGTGTTTGAACCATTGCCCCTTGTATCACACAACCTGATTCTCATTTGCCTCAATGAATTAAAACACATAATGTATAGGCATGTGTAGGAGCACCACGCTACAGATAAGTTGTTATCCATATCATAATCAGCCAGATTTCCAGTTAAGGCACGTTTTTACTAAATAAGCACAAATTGCATAAAAAGCTAACAAACATAACAAAACTTTTCAATACAAAATTCTTTTAAATGTCCAATTTAGTTTCACTTATCCGGGAAAAGATCGCAGTGGCTCAATTTTGCTGAATGCTGCTCCCAAATTTTAGAACTGTTCAATGAATTTGATGTACTCCATAGCAACAGTAAATATAAACACGTCTCAAAATAAGTTCTATTCATTTACATACCGGACTTTGACTGTTTTTCCCCATTGTTTAATAATACATTGCTCATTATCATCTCTATGTCTGCATCATACTTCTAAGATAAGTCCTCGCAAACCATGAAAGCTAATTTTTAACCACAAGAAGCAGTAAAAAATGAAGCTGAAAATTTGTTGTACTTCCGATTGGATTGATGATATTTTAACTGCATTTATTGGCATTATGCAGCAATGCTAACATTATCATTATAATTAGCAACTCACGAAATACGTAAAAATATTGAACACAAATAAACTTACACTTCAGCCGTCGCAGTAACAAGCAGAATTTTGTAAACAAAGTTATGACATTGGAATGCTGACATTGCAACAATGAATCACTTCATGGATACATCAAAAAGCCGTGGACAATGGAGCCGAATTAACGCCCATGGGAAATGACCGTTGACATGGAAACGATATTAAACAATTAGTAAACAAACAAATACTACTAAGTGATATTCTATTCTTGGAAACCATGGTTATTAAGAAAAATGGGCATTATATACATACTACTTCGATATTGACAATGTAAATAAACATCTTACCTCTGACTGGAAAAGTAAAATCTAGTTAGTATGGCGACTATATAACGTTTCTGGTCTGTAAGCATCCAATTGTATCAATATGTTTAAAACAGGTAATGTCAATACGTCAGCCACTTATTTATTTCGATGAAAACATATTCGTGGAATGTATTTATATGTGATATAATTACAAAAACAAGAAATATTTTTTTTTCATATAAAAAACACGAATGAAAAATGTACATTAAACATCTGTTCAGACAATAACACAAGGTAATAAAAGAGCGATGTCGTAAAGTGGTGATAATCAAAGCCTAAATAATGTGTTTCCAAACCAGGCAATGAATACAAATCTTTATATTACGGCGATCCAAAGAGACTTAATGCCCTTAATCAAATCCTTTTAAGCATTGAAATATGGATTACTCGGTTCAAGAAGAGTTTGCTACAGTTTTGCGTTGTATTTGCTCTCATCTTATATGAAACGTTTTAGTTGATTAAGTATTTTAAAAACGCAGAAAAAATACTCTTGAAGTTTAATAGCTTACATAAATCTCTTTCCAAATACATTACGATCAAAACAGTAACAGTTTCAAGATGGCAGCAAGAAATAATTCAGTTTGCACTAAATTTGCCTTCTAGATATAAGGGTTAATATGTTTGCGACTAAACATAGATAAATCATACAAAAAACCATCTATTAACTCAATGTGAAATAAATCGGTGCATGGAGGAATTAAATTCTATTTGAGTGCTGGGTGCAGTAATGTCAGGTGGTCTTGTCGGTCTCTGTGGGATTTGATAAGGATTTTGATTGGAGTTCCGTGCTGTTTCATTAAACGTCTGCAACAGTGCATATAAAAATCGGTTTTCCTTTAAAGTTGGTCAGAGACAATACCTTGGTGGCCTGGCAGAATCTCGTGAGATCCTCAGAGAAGAACACTTTATCTGGTTGTCTTCTTGTAATTTCTTCGCGTGATACTTTTTTAAACTTCCAATTCCGGAAGATGCAAATGAAATTTCGTATTTGTCATCTCCAAGTCTGTCTGTCTGTCTGCATATGGCAACAATTTTACTGGTTCGAGTCGGTCGATTCTTTACCAGACATTCTATAGACACAATAAGGAGTAACGCCTTTTGTGTGATTTTTTTTATGTCACTTTCAATGGACTAATTCTTATCCTATAGTGTGTGACACGGGAGTTCCTATTCTTAAGTGTGAACCATCGATTAGAACGTTCATTATTTTCCTTCTTTATATTTGATATTGAAGACTATCCATGTAACTTAGCCATTTGGGTTCTAATACTGTGTTTAAGAGACGCAGTAATGCAGAGAGATAAGAAAAGAATTACATCTATTGCTGATCAATAGCCTTTCATGTTGCCGGGAAAAAGAGTGATTTACTCGTCATTATGGATTTTTCTCAAGTATACTTTCATGAAAACTGACATACGTAGAAAACATAAGATACAATCGAAAACCGAAAAGAATGACTCTTCAGAAAAAAAAGGATGCTATTTTTAGCATGCAGTAGCTTGAAGGTACATATTACGGAATTTTTTTTCGGTGAAGGTTTTATGGAAAATGGTATTTTAAACTCATTCATAGGACTCGGGACTGACCACTTGTAGAAACAACGGTTTACGCGCGCCAGTATTGAGTGTATACATTGTACCTTACGTGGACATGTGATACCTGTACACTTATAACTTTACACTTAGCCATACCAGGACCGAGGACCAGAGTGGTAACGGGAGGACTGGTACTAAAAGCAGAGCTCTGTATACAGAGTGAATCGGCAGAAAAGTACAGGGTCGGTGTTCCTTTTTAACATCATACCATCGCTTGAGACCAAGTTCGGTAAGAATAAGATGACTAACAGAAAACTGGAAAGATTCAGAGAATATGTAAGAGAGGGGAAAGCGGAGAGTTACAGGTAGACAGATGAATTTTCAATCTGGAAACAGAATATAATTTTCGGATGGGAAAAGGGGAAATATTAGAAGACTGCAGAGAGAAATTCAATGCCGTTATGGACCGTATAATGGAAAAATGGCAACATCTATAAATACACTGAATGTTTACCTGGAAAAGGAGTGGTAATTTGATTACGCTTGGTGGTAATAATAGGAGTGATTGGAACAGCGATGTTACCTCCTTGACTTATGATCTTCACGGAGACAACAAAAACGTATGACAAAGAGAAACAAAACTTGCTGAGTTGAAACATCCTATAAGGAAGCATGTGCAAATATGATACATGATAAGCGGTAGGTTAAGAACATTTTCCAACGTATACTTTTTGGAAACCACATGTAAGAATTGATACGGACCAACATACCACGAATATGCGCCAGTTTAAGACTGGTATTTGACCCTCCATTTAAGACATTCGGACGTGAACTGCTTATTCTTATAACAGTCAACAAGGGTAAATGGCATGTAGACAATCACAAATTAGACAAATTACCAAAACTAACAAGATAGGATTAGGAAATTACTCATTTACATAATAATAGGTCTTGTCACTTTTTCCTATTCAAGGAAAGCTGTATGCGAGGTACGCAATACCATCAAGATGGTTCAGTAAAATAAACAACTCTCAATAAATATATGGCGCTTAAAGCTTTCCGAAATGTGAAACTGGTAGCAAAATCCAAACATGATTGAAAACAAATTGAACCATGTTCTGTACAATCCATTTATTGGTAATATACTCTCCCGAATGACATATATAAATATATGAAAATCCAGTGGTAACTATTAGACATTGTATAATAAAATGATGTTCATTCTTTACCCATATTCGACTCAGTGTGTCTGTGATTTGCTGAATATTCAAATTGTCTTTATTGTGGAGTGATGTCATGGCCTCAGGACATCACATGCATTATGACATCACCAAACCAAAAACAAACAAAAAACAAACAAAAAAAAAAAAAAAGAAAAAAGAGATCAGTCATTTTCATTTTTGAATGTCGAAATAAAATTTTGTTTTCAGTAATGTTTTGAAAATTAACGTAACTAAGTTACATGATGACAATAAGCTTATATTTGTTTCGATATCAAATGGAATTAGAAATCTAATCCTGCAATGTTCATTTTACTTTGCTAGGGTCTCGGCATCACCCAACTCATAAATAAACACTCATGATAAGTGCATTATCTGCAGTCTGTTTATGCAATAGGCTAGGTAAGCGTTTACTCTGAATTCATCATAACTAACCGCAAAAGTCATCAATTTAGATAATGATATGGTGTTCTTTTCTCGTTTCTTCTCGACAAGTCAAGTCCAACAAAAGTGTTCCCATGTAAATGTGGATAAATATACGAGTCAATAAACTGCGAGTTGCATGTTTCATTTATACTTTTCTCTTTTGTTCCTGAATGAATTGATCAGTATAGCTCCATTTACCAGCAACTAGTTTGAATTAACAACTTCTCCCATCAGGCTTAACCTTACAGTAGCATCCTTCTGTATCGCTTTCTTGTCTGGCTTTCCAGAAGGTAACTTTGGAAAGGTTTCAAACTGCAAGAAATATGTCGGAATTTCACCAAGGCTATCGACGGTGTTTTCCTTGAACAAGTTCTGCTTGCAGTAATTCTGAACATCATGCGAAGTAAGTTGTCCAGAAGACACAAAACACACACAGATCTCTTCATACAGTCTTTTGTCAGGTACAGGTACCAGAGAAACTTCTTTGATCGACTTCATTTGCTTCAATAGGAACTCCAGCATGCTAGGATATATTTTGCGTGTTCCCCTTGATATAGCATCATTTTCTCTCCCAAGAAGAATGAGATTTCCATCTACCGAAATTTTGCCAATATCTCCCGTCTTGAACCATCTTTCTTCTGTAAAAGCCTCTTTGGTCAGGTTGGGACTACAAAAATATTCTTTCATTACTTGCCGCGAACGAATCTGAATTTTTCCTATTAATCCCCGTGCGATTGGAAGTTCTTGAAAGTCAACAATTCGGACCTCCACCCCTGGATAAGGTTTGCCAACATCCCCGGCCAGCAGAGGTTGAGCGTGACCTATTGGTCCATTCAGAGTGATACCTATACCTTCGCTACAGGCATAAACAATCATCATTTTGTGGCAAAATGGCCCTATGACTCCGGTGTAGCAGTTATCTATCATCTGACCACCAGTAATGATGTGTTGCAATCTGAAGTCGTCTTCGGTAACGGTCTTTGTCAATTCAAGCAGATCATGAATTACAAATGGCAACATCAAGGCGTCGGTACAACGCTCTTCTTTAACGATCTGCCAAATAAGCTTTGTGTTTTGACTGTTCATTGCTATGGATGCGTCCATGACGACCCTTGTTTCACTGCGAAGGATAGTATATACAGGCGATCCTCCAATCCATGCGAATGGTCTGTCATTGAAAATAGTGATCTCATAGTCTGCTGTAGGCGGAGTTAATGGTAACGGATAACTTGCAAAGTCAAAATGAGAGTGAAATACCATTTTAGGCTTTCCAGTGCTGCCAGATGTTGTGAATATTATGGCATTATCTTCTGGATAAATGGATGGAAGTTCGACTTCAGAGAGATTTTGTAATTGTATAGTTTCCAATGATTCCGCCGTCTTGAAATCATGGAGGTCTGCTTTGCGCAGAAGAATAAATTTTCTGTCGCTATCTTCGTTTGTTTCATCTGTCTGAACATTGCAGTGCTGCAGCATAGCCCTGACTGGGGGAAGAAGACTATTGTCTTTGCCAGTATCCACTAGAGCGCATTTCACATGCGCTAATTGAAATAATTCTTTAACATCTAGTGCTGTTTTCATGTTGATGGTGACATTCAAGACAACAGCTCCAGCTGTCAATATGCCCAACATTCCAATAACCATCTCTAGTGTATTCGGACCTACCAAGGCTACAACGTCTCCTTTCTGTATTCCTTGTGTCACAAGGTACCTCGCAAGTTGTTCAGCCTGTTGGTACAAAGCAGCATTAGTCAAACTTGACCTTGACCCGTCCACTTCTCTAAGTATAAAAACCTCCTTATTTGGATGATGAAAGGCATTCTCCTTTGCAACTTTTGCAACTGTCGTATAGCTATAAGGTTTGATGGGAGGGGTATGTAGGTAGCTGAAATCTGAAGGAGCATCCATTTCACTAATCTGAAAAAGAACAGAAATAAGAGTTAATATTTAATCAGTTTCAAAGGCTTGAGGGATGAGCGATGATTTACCCGGTGCTTGGTGTTTGGGTTTTTAAGTCAATTAGACCCCTTTGACCCCGTCCTTCAGTTTACGTGTAATTCTAACAAAGTTTGAAATATTTCCAATGGAAATAAAACAAACTATGCTCAAAATGTGTATTATATATATTTATATATAAACTAATGTAAACTTTACCCCCTCCTCACGAGGAGAGACCCTTGACTCACAAAATTCACAACTTTGGTTAAGCACTTTAAGATACTTCCATCCATGAAGGGCATTTGATACTACCATATCTGGGTGTTGAGAAGATTTTTTGCCCCGCCCATCAGCGCCTAGCGTCAATCAGGATCAATATGAGCATACCATGAAGCCGTCATCCTTCACTTCTAATTCTAACCGAGGTTGAAATATTCCCAATGTAAATTAAACAAATTAGGCACAAACATTCATTTTCCTATATAAACTATTGAAAACTTCATTCCCTCCCCGAGGGGAAGTATGAAACCCTGGTGCCATTAAATTCAGTTTTGTTAAAGCACCTTAAGACATTTCGTGCGCTTCCGTTCGGGCCAACAAGAGCGACAAATGCAAGTTTAAAAAACTTGTTTCGTATTTGTTGTAAAATAAATAAAGTTTATTATTTTAGACATTTCCTTCCATGATTTTTGAAATTTTAGTCTACATCGCTCATGGATCCTGTGGGGTAGAGATCCTATTATCTAATATTTAGTTTTTTTTTTTTTTTTTTTATCTGATGCAAGAATATTTTTCTGCAAACTTTCATTGAAATCGGTTCAGTTATTTCTGGAAGGTCTAAATGCTAACTTGTTTACGAACGCACGACGCCGGACAAAGATGATCGCAATAGATCACCATGAAACTCTCTCTCAAGTAACCAACAATCGTTTTTTTATTATCCATTCCTAAATTTGCAGCGGTGACATTACGCGATTTCGCTATGAAAGTTCGTTTATAAAACAAGTTCGGATGATGAAGTTTTTATTGATGCTTCCATTTATACCATCATACACAAAACTGTGTTAACATTGACGTGACTATATTGCACCCTGCCTAATTTGACTCCTAAAATATTTACCTTTCATTGGTTTTCAACTTGACAACTTTATGATTGTGCTTGTACATTTTAGATTTTGGTGACCACATTACAACCTGCAAATGGCTTCAGTTTTATGCATAGCATTTATTTCTTTTGAGAACGTAAAGGACTGTAATAAACAGAAATAAACCTGTTTTTAATAATTTGTGTTGACTTGTAATTACAAAAACGACATGTATGTCTAAACTGCACTAATACAAGCTTGACATGCTTTACAATGTATTACGTGTTATATTTTCCATGGATTCACATCCAAGAAATAAACAGAACTAATATCACTGAATTTGACAGCAGTGATTATAATATTCATCCAAACTATCTCTCACACACGTAATCTAAACCATCTCTCACGTCATCGACTTAAGTCAACTCAACGACCCAAAGTGCCCGGATTTCACCTCTATATGTCCTTATGATTATAGCGAGCACAGCGAGTGCTTTATGGTATTGCGTTTGGTAATTCAACTCCAACAAGCTGCCAATACGATCAACTTTAAACGGAAGTGTGGCAGGTACTTCATTACCCACAATACACTTACCGCAGCACGCAATGAAAACTGCCGACCCGCTGAATGGATTAAATTTATTTTGACCGACAAAGTATCTTTTTAAACTTTCATGCGGACGTGAAATCATACCAAAAATCTTAAATCATTAAGATTAATTTAACAAAAATACTTTAATGGTTTGAAACACAAAAAATATCGCGTCGAAAAATTAGAGCACGTTTGTTCTCCGATGTACCTGATTTCCTGTTTAACCTTTGGGAACTTCTGTCACTTTCCGTGAGATATCGTCTCTTACACGGAAGCATCCGAAAGGTCCGGATTTGACAAAATCTGTTCAGTCTCTTAACTATATTAATTTTGCAAGATGTGGATATTCTTTCGATAACTGTTTGAAATTAATTATGATCAAGTATTTGAACGTTTAGAAATTTTCCAGCAAACACTAATAAGGCACAATGATAAGAAAACTATTAGTGACGAGTTTTTTTTGTTTTTGTTTTTTTTTTTTTTTTTTTTGTTTTTTTGTTTTGTTTTTTTTTTGTTTTTTGTTGTTGTTTTTTTTTTCAGAAAAATACAGTTTATGTAACATGTTGTGACATTATTAAGAATTTCATTTAAACATGTATATATTTATATTGATTTTCTGAATTATAATGTTTAACAAAATAGTCTCAACAGAGGTTATAAATTTACCCTAATTTTGCTACCAAGGCATAGCTTATAAACTGAAGGTTCTAAAGCATTTTATGATTTGTTAAATAACAGAACTAAAACTCCCAATAGCAAACAGGATAGAAAACTGTGGGTGAGAACATTCTGATTTTAATGATGAAAAAAACATAACCACCGCCTTTACAAATCCGACTAAACCTGTATTGTCTTTCGCCATATTTTGACTTCAAACTCCTTTGTTTTTAAAAAAAAAATCACGCATAGTCCTCTCTGCAATATCTGTAACTCTGAAAGGGATATTCTTGTACATCTATTTTTAAGATATTTTTATCAATTTTAAAAATCTAGATATGTTGTCAAAGACTTTATTAAAACATTAACTGTTACCATGGAAACAGGTAACCCTCATCACAAATTCCGGATTTTCTGGGCCAATGGTCTGAAACCATTCAAGATATTAGATAAAAACTTTTTACGTTTATGAGCTAGTACTTTCTTTTGCTATGGGGAAGCTCACCATTTGAATACTTATTCTGTTACCATGGAAACAGATAGGTTAAGTTACTGGGTTAGGTTAGACCAGTTCTCTTTAAACCATTCAAGGTAATTACCCGGTACTCAAAATTTTGTACAGGCATTAAGCTGGTGCTCAAGCAAAAGTTCTCAATTTCAATACATTTGTACTTTGTATGGAAAAATTAAAGATAACAAATTGACATTAAACTTGTGATATTAACATATATATATGGTTTTGTGTCGTTCTGTTAAACAGCAGGCGCGGGGATTATGTTACGCTTTGCGTTATCTTGTGGTCTTTTGATTTGTTCTTTTTTGTCTTCCTAAATTGTACATGATTGTATGTGCATGACTTACTTACATATGGAAACTTTATTATTTTAACTTATATAAATCACACTTGTTGTAAGCATGCGAGGGGTTTAACTGTGCTAGGAAACCTATATCCCTCGGAGAATCGAATCCCGGACAAAGACAAGTGTGTTTCAACTGGGCCACAAAACCACCGCCTGATCATGTTGATACATTGTTTTCTAGAAGATGTGTTGATGATGATGATAATGATGATGATATATTGATATTTTGTATGTGCCGATGTTTTGTAGACATGGGTCAGACTGTTCAAAATGTGCATCTTGTTTACCAACTTACGCTCGCTTTTAGGCAGTGTCTGTTTCATATTAGAACAGTATTATAAATGACACATTGAAATAGCATGTTAAACGTTGCAACTGTGTTGAAACCTACATTACTGTATCCAAAATCCAACAGCATGTAACTGACATTGCCTGCTACATGCACGCTGTTTTGAAAGCGCACAATAAAACAACATTTTCTACCTTATAACAGAAGAGTTCCACAAACTACCGACATAAAGGGAAAAAACTCTGTCATGGTTGTGACAGTTGCATAGACGGTACTGACTGTAACGGCACAGTGATGGTGTTTCCTCTTATTTCGAACGATCATTCACACTAAGTTTGTGTTACAGCAACTGCATATATATACTAAAAGGATAAAGAAACGCAGGGTGAACTTTAAACCAGAAATTAAGTATGATATCGGGCTTCATTTAAAACGAAATTTTGTATACTTACAGATAAATTAAAGCTTAAAAATTTCCAACGTCTGTATTTTGCATCTGACAATTGGTTTAGAGGTACTAATGATTAAATTGAATGGACCCATAGGATTTTGAAATTGAAATTGAATTGAGTCATCAATATCTTGTGTGTCCGCCGTTTGCTGTGTTCACGGCCCTTATTCTTCTGGTCACAGAGTTCATGAGAGCGTTAATCCGTCTTATGGGGATGTTGTCCCACTCTTCAATCAGAGCTCTGGTCAACTGCTCTCGAGTAGCAGGGGGTGGCTGGCGCTTTCGAACCTGTCTATCCAACTGGTCCCAAAGATGCTCGATCGGGGACAAATCAGGGCTATATGGCGGCCAATCTAGTGGTTGAATGTTGTTGTTGGCCAGAAAGATCCAGAAGCAAATCCTTGCTACGTGGGGCCTAGCATTATCCTGCTGGAGGATTAGATTATGCTGCTGTAAGAAAGGGATAACATGGGGTCGGAGGATCTCATCTCTATGCTTAGCTGCTGTTAAATTGCCATCAATAACAACCAATTGTGATTTTAACCCGTGTAAGATTCCTCCCCACACCATTACTGAACCGCCCCCAAACCTATCCCTCTCTTCAACGCAAGCGTCCGTAAAACGTTCGCCACGACGTCGGTAGACACGTTGACGGCCGTCATATCGATAATCGAGACTCGTCCGTGAAGAAAACTTGTCTCCACTGCCTCAGTGGAAACCGTCGTGGAGCATGTGCAGCGACCCAGGCCATATGACGCTGACGTCGAGCAGGGGTAAGGTGTGGACCTACGTAGGGGCGACGTGCTCTTACACCAACTTCTCGTAATCGATTCCTTACAGTTTTTGAACTTATAGGTCGCCCATGATTTCCACGAACATTAAGTGCACTCTCAACGGCAGTAAGGCGCCGATTACGCACATGAGACACGACGATATAGCGATCCTGACGTCGTGACGTTACGCGCGGACGTCCTGACCTAGGTCGATCGGCCAATCGCCCAGTTTCCCGAAGACGTCTTACAAGACGTTCTATGGTGAAAACATTAACACCAAAGTGCCTAGCAACCTGATTTTGCAGCTGTCCTTGCATCAGCATCTGAATGGCCTGACCCCTCTGAACTTCTGTGAGTCGTGCCATTCTTAAAACGAATCGAATTCTCAATTAATTTTAGAGAAGCAGTTGGTCTGTATAAAGACTACCGAAGAGTGACTTGACCAAAGCTGCATGAGACCAGAACACGGTGCACGAGATTCTTGTTTTTTCCTTCCTCAATTTACCAGAGCTGCGCACTGTACCGTGACTAAATTTTCGATACATGGCAAGGTGTAATATGACCTAATTACTCAAACCACAAAGTTTCACTTTATTTGGATAACGCGTTTTCAAAATATAGGAATAAATATTACCCTGCGTTTCTTTATCCTTTCAGTATATATATGTATTCTTATGGTGATTAAATAAAAGATATTAAATAAGATCAGAAAACGATTTGAACAATTCAACTGGATTTTAAATGGCGTTTATAGTACGACTGAAAAGCTGCGGAGTTACGACATCTTTCATTGGCCGTTGGAACGAGTTGATGTTATATAACCACAGATTATACACAAAATAAATATTCAACACGTGGCAAGATGTGCCCAAAAGAGCACTCGGTAAGCACTTTGCAATGTATCATATCTTCTATAGAATTTCGTTTATCCTATAATGCAATAAACATAAAAATAATATTGCCTTATTAATTTAATGCTCCGGGACAAAATGCAAACGAAATCTATTCCCTCATTATCATAAGTACACTTAAGGACGTCATATCAACTGGTTTAGCTAAAACAATTCACCAGTTCAGTAAGAGATAATATAAATCATGACTGTGATGGTAGAGGGTTGAACTTTTTCTATTGAGAAATATAAATGCTTACAGGTAATCATTCAATGATACAACAAAAGGCCTACAGCCAAGAGTGACAACTTGATAGCTGATGAAAGGTTAAACGAACTCGAGCGGGATACGTGACCATAAACAGGTAGTTGTGAACACATTGAAATAATTAACAATCCCTACATTCAAAGCGTACGTATTACTGAATTGTTCGTTTACGACATATAGGTGTATAGATGTAGATAATAAATGTTACCTTTTATAGTGAAGACAATCCAGAAAGGTTGAAATGACGTGAAGTAAGTATCCCCACTCCCGGTCTTTCTGACCGACTTTGAGGTATGTGTATACTTTTATCAACTCAAGGTCATGTTCTGTTGACGCATGTACTTCACGTGATGTTCGCCAAATCAGGATAATTATGCAGTTAAAATGTGTCGATGTCTGTTACATAATATTCCCAAGCAGATATTTTTTCATTCCAAACAGATACTACATAATACGTAACTAGTTATGTAATCCTCAGCTCGACATTACGATAGTACATGACTGTGATATATACTTTTCTCGTTTACTTCATTGTCCAGGGGATAAAAAGTAAAAACCCCTATTTGCGGACTTTTGAGCAGTATTTCCTGAGCCGGTCGTTTCTGTATCAATCCATACAATCGACGTCACAAGTTATATGTAGGATGTGTGTTAAATGAATATGTTAGAGGAGTGATACGTGTTCTTTTACCTGTGTCGTTGCATAAAAATGCCCAGAGCGTTGACCTCTTGGTTGAATGGTATACGTAGAGCATATCCGAATATCAGTTTACATATAAAAGCGGCAATGACCTGAGAGAAGGGCGGTGATTTACAACTAAATAGGCCAGTGTGCAACAATTTTGATTTCCCTAAAGGACAGCTTGTTTTAATACGGATTATATGGTCTTTTTGCAAAACGAGCTTCAGTTCCGAAAGGGTAGATTGATCTGTAAAACTTAACTGAAAAAACTAAGGTATCTTTATTGTATCGCCTCAATACATCTGTACATTCTCAAGCTTAATTTTCATTTTATGCCATTGAAGATGGCGAGGGGAACATATACTGTGTCCGTCCCGTCTGTCGATCCGTGTGGATTCGGTTTCCGCGCCATAACTCCAAAAATGCCTCAATAGAATTAAATAATGTGTGTCGAAATATTTAAAATCTAGGCCATGTTGGATTTTTAGCTATTCCCGGCAATACCTATCTGGAAAAAAATTGGTTTCCACATCATAACTTCAAAGTGCTTCAATAGAATTAGATAATGTTTTGCACGTATATTGAAATATTATAAAACTAGGGCAATTTTATTTACTCTAATTTGTCTGTAATTTCTACCAGAGTTATGGTTCTCCCTCGACTTAGAAATAGCGAAACAAAATGGTTTCCGCACCATAACTTTAGAAAGCCTCAATAGAATTAAATAATATTTTGCATGTTGAACGAACATGTCAAACTTTGTATCTACTCACAGACCAGACATTTTGTTAGGAGATATGAATATAGATATTCTTACCTCTTCCCGTGAATTATTAAGACATAGTTTACCAGATTATGCACAAGAAGAAAAAGCACCAACTCACATCAGTGAATCAACATAAGACTAAGTATTCTGTAAAATATACTATCCAATACCTGAAATTAAAGTCTTCCCTACATACTTTAAAGACCGTTCCATAATGTATCTTGTATACCAACAGTGCACAGTTTAAAGTAAGCTTACATTTTGTAGTCTCAACATTACTCTGGATTTGTGTTTTAAATTGCTTTAACTCCTTGATTTTAACCCCCCATATATGTTGTGTTACTAATTATTACTATTTTCGTTGGATGTTGTCCAAATTAAGGTCTGATTTGGGAACGAGGAGCCAATTTTGTATCAACAGTGAGTTTGGGCCCCCAGGGCATGAAGGGCGAGACCCAGTAGGGAAATCCTATTTCCTTTAAAGCTATATTGCTCTTTAGGAATTGCAGGATATTGCCTTTATACAAATGGCGGGTCTCTGCCTCTGGGGCCAGAGGGGCGTAGACAACTTTGTCAAGATTTGTCTTTCCATACGAGTATGTACTGAATACTATTGGGCCATTTTATGCGATTTAGGGATGTCAGGTTAGCCACAGCATGATACATTAATTGCCAATAAGGAGAGCCAGTTTAAAAAGTCTAGATGGGTAGTGGAGAATGGCCATTGTCGATTGAAACGGGGGTCTGTTTTAAGAGCAACCCAGTTTAAACTATTTCCTAAACATCATAGTGGAGCTGGTAACGTAGCAACAGCTTATTTGAATGCTACACGTGGGCCGAATCATGTGTCTTTACTAGAACGGGTTGCATTGCTGAACGCGTGCAATCATGTTTGGCTCTGCTCAATACTTTGGCCGCAAGAGTAGCTGATGAATAACACCTTTCTAGACGCAACAGGGTAAGCTTGGTGAAGCTGAACGCATGTTCGATCGAAGTCCCCATTCTAGATATGGGGTATCTAGAGATAGTAATGTGCGGATCCAATCATGGTAGACTGCACAGTATCTGACACGGGGTGGGGTCTTCGAAGTGTGAGTCTATCAACATACTGAAAACCTCATCCGAGGACAAATCCATCCAATGCACAAATCGTAGATACTGCATTATATCTGGCCCCTAAGTACGTACTGAAGTTGAGAATTTGGAGTTGAGAATCCAAATTTAAGAAGTTTCGAGATCCTGTGGCCAGTTTTCAATTCATGTATGAAAAGAACGCACGAGTCATGTTATTTAAGATAAAAAAAAAAAAAAAAAAAACACCAGATCTAACATAAATGTTTGAACCAAATTCACGTTTCGGGCAGGTAAATCAAAGTAGATGTCCTGTTTTAAAAAAAAACAGATTTATGCCTGTAACTGTTTATATTACATATATGAACTTTTTTCATCGAAGACATGCAAACGTTGAATGCACATCGAGATTTCGATGAAAACATTTTTTTTCAACAAATGTACATACATGAAGCCATGAACCATGTAGTTCAAAATGTTGATCAACTTGTGTTCACTTTTAGACAGTGCCGATTTCATGCTAATTTAAATCTGTTTCGATATCCACACAAAGGGCCTGTTTCCAGTAATGTTAATTCTCCATAGGAGCCTGCCCCCCTATAATTTCTTATCTAGCTCAACTACTGTTTTTTTCTTTTCCGAAAAATAATTTTACACCTTTCCGACACACAGATTTCATAATTTCAGTGAAAATGTATTTTTATAAAGTTGTCAATTTCAGCATCAAAGACATAAGTTCGTAAATAAAAGAAGGTTATCTCGAAATTGTAATTCGCAACATAGTATAAATTTCTTTTGAGAAATATTTCCAAAACATCGTGTTTATTCATAAAACATAAAAAAAATATTCTCGGATGAAAATGCACTTGCAGAGACACAATTATGAAGAAAAATGCCATAAATTTGCAATTTTCTCCGGTTATATAGTTTTGGATGCAAATTTCCATCAGAAAATCGGATAGAGCTTTACTTGTTTCATATGTGTACCAAAAATCAGCTAATTCCATGTGGTGGAACGTTCTCATATCGCCGCCTGAATGTGGTTGTAAATTGAAAGAAAAGGGGAAATGAGTAACAACCTTGTCTGAAACCCTATTATATAGCTTATTATATACAAACTTTTATATTGAATATCAGAGCGGATATTTTCATGACAGTTTTATGATGTGTAAAAAAAAAGTACTGTTTCCCCGTCTCGATCTTGATTACTTGAGAACCATTACGTGTGGAACGTATCTCTGGCTCCTGGTTACATCGCCGAACATTTAAGTGATGACGGCGACTATGAGGTGTGGCTTTACCAGCACTCCCTAGACCTTCTCCGATGTCCAATACATTCTCGACACAAAAGCCAAACGAAATATGACGTTTGGATACGGTTCACCGTTTCACCCGATGTTGAGGCCCCAATAAAGGACTACTACTGCCAGTGCCCAGTTGGAGAGAGAACGATGGGAATGTGTGCGCACATCTCCAGTATCTTGTACTACCTTGGGTATTACAGGACGCTGGAAAACCCTCGACCATTACAACCACAGGTAAAGAAATTCCGACAAAACTTGAAATAGTTTTCCATGCGGCAACAACGTGCATATGTCGAAAGTATGTTTGGGGCTCGATATGAAAGATCCCCGTTACCATGTGACTAACCAAACTTATAAATATAGGTATTATACAATCGCCCGTAGCTATGAACACTCCCGTAAATGCGAAAAACAACCAAAACCATAAGGAACACGTTTTGTTTGTTGTTCTGTCTATTTGTCAGCCAATGTCTTCAACCACGGGGACTTGCGAAGTAGCCATCTTGGATTTTTTTATGAAAAAATGTTTCTCTCACTTTTTTCCATATCTGTGTACATATTCTCAACATACCGAGCAAATACTTTCGTTTTTTTTGTTAATTATCTAACGAAAGTCGAAAATCGGCAATTCAACCATAGGCTAATTCAACCCAACATTTGAAAATGTTCCACCACTTACATTTTGATGATTTTTCCTCTCATCAATAGCATATTACGTACTATTTAATAGGATAAAAATTGGTTTGCATCCAACGCCCATAGAAGGGTGTATTCTCTAAAAAAACACAGTTTTTGTGTCTAAAATGTTATCATCGAAAATAGCATTTTTGAGATTGTTTCTTCCATAAAACAGCCAAATGGCGCGATGGAAACATGATTTTTTGTCACAATCATGCCATGAATGTATTCTTTACGGTGACTATCATTTGATTAGATTTTCATTAATATTTTACATAACATGCATATTTTATCAACACTTAGACAGCTTCTGAAAGGTACAACTTTGAGGAGCCATAAAAACAAACCAAGTGACCTAAATCTTTATACTTAATAGATTTGTGACCACAACGGCATGGGCAATGCACCACCAACAGGAAATTTGAATTATGATATACCACCCAGCTTAGTATGCTGATATCGTTGTGTTTTTCTCGCATCAATGTTTTTGCTGAAAACAACCGGCGACAAAACTACGATAATAAGTCGAAATTTGATATCTGATATTTTCTCTTCCTTCTAATCAATTTTTCTCAAAGTCTCCTTGCTAATTCAGTTGAGCCTTAACGTTTTTGGTTCTGTCTCTTAGCCGAGACATACCAGAGTTTATGAAAATGGTAGTTACAACTTCCTACTATAGGCCTAATAAATGTGTAACAATTGGTTCTCTCGTTACCAATATAGTATTGGCA